TCAAAAGAGGGAACAAATCTTTGGAGCGAGGATCATTCCCACCCCCTCCATACACAGAGTAGACAGGGATGGGCAACTTGGACATTGACTACCCAAAATGGGGGGCTACAAAGTCAAGAAATGACTAGATTACAAGCTAGTAACAGGAAGCCTAGACCCAGAGGGCGTGGAGAAAGGTAGAATCTCCACTGCATACTATCCAGTCTGGGTGGGGCTGATGAAAGGAGATGCAGATAGGTCTCTTGTGATACAATAGTGAATAATTGTTATCAGGACTGATTGTGAGGGTTGGAAATGTAAAGGTAGGTGTTTTGTAGCAAAAGGAGGGGAGTGATTGACTTTGCAGTCTAGGAATGGAGGTCCCTGGGAGCATTGAGAAGAGAACGGGACCCTACCCAGAGAAGCAGTGACACCAGAGATGGAGGCAGAGACGATGATGTAGAGAGATGGAGCGGCTGGGGACTTTAGACCCAGAGAGGGAGAGGGGCTGTGTGCTGACGACTGGGGGCCAGGCTTACAGGGTATACCCTTTAGTTGGTTGATGATGCATGGAGGGGATTGTAACCATGGCAATGAAACGATATACGATAGGATAAATGTAAAGCTAATTACATTATAATTAGCTTGTAAACTATGTAAACTATCACATAATTCACATTAAAAAACTTTTTTAGAAGAGAATGGAATTTTCCCAGGAACTTTTTGAAGGCCCATCGAGTAGGTTCTAACTCACAGCGACCCCATGTACAAAGAACAAAACACTGGTCTTGCAGCATCTTCACAGTCATTGCTGTGTCTGAACCCATTGTTGTAGCCACTGTATCAATCCATGTGATTAAGGGTCTTCCTCTTTCTCTGACCCTCTGCTGAACCAACCACCATGTCATTCTTCAGGTACAGGTCTCCCCTGATAGATGAGCTGTCAGAATACATGAGATGCAATCTTACCATCTTTGCTTGTAAGGAGCATCTCAGTTCTACTTCCAGGATAGATTGGTTCATCCTTCTGACAGCCCATGATATATATTCAATATTCTTCGCTAACACCATAATTTAAATGCATCAGTTCGTCTGTCTTCCTTTTTCATTGTCCAGCTCACAGCGACCATTTACAGGGTTTCCAAGGAGTGGCTGGTGGGTTTGAATGCCGATCTTGCAGTTAGCAATCCAGTGCTTATCCAACAGAAGGTAATTGAAGATACCATGGCTTGGGTCAGGAACACCTTAGTCCTCAAAGTGATGTCTTTGCTCTTTAACATTTAAAAGGGGTCTTTTGCAACAGATTTGCCCCCAGTGCATTAGATTCTTGACTGCTGCCTCCATGGGTATTTATTGTGGGTGCCAGTAAAATGAAATTCTTGACAACTTCAACCTTTTCTCCAGTTTATCATGATGTTGTTTATTGGTTCAGCTGTGAGGATTTCTGTTTCCTTTTCACTGAATTTTAATTCATAATGAAGTCTGTAGTCTTCGATCTTCATTAGTAAGTGCTTCAAGTCCTTTTTGTTTTCAACAAGCAAGGTATGTCATCTCCATATTGCAGGCTGTTAGTGAGCCTTCCTTCAGCTCTGATGCCATGTGCTGCATATAGTCCAGCTTCCCTGATTATTTGTTCAGCATGCAGATTGAATAAGGATTGTGAAAGGATGTAACTCTGACACCTTAGAGAATTCACTATATTCTGTTATAATTGTTAATTTCTAGGGCTGTCTCCCGTATCTGCATTCTAAATTCCTGGGAGAGTGTTGCTGTGTCTTGTCATTCACATGCATAGAGCATCTAACATAGTCTCTGAGCTGTAGGATGAACCAAATGAAAGAACCAGTCAGGACCAATTAACATGAATGTTTCCCTTTTAGATGCTCTTGATCAAACTACTGAGTGGATCAAAAAATCTGTCAATGAAGAATTACTTTGTCTCTCTGAGGCTGCTTTAACTCCCGGGGCTGAAGGTAGCTCTAAACCAAGCCTGAGCCCTACCTCGGTGCTAAATAACAGTTACTTGAAACTGTTACAGTGGGACTACCAGAAAAAAGAATTACCAGAGGTAAGTTGTTTCTTTTTCTTCCCTCAAATCTTCCAGTATTTTAATTCTGAAGTTCTAACTGTGACTCAGGTGGACTGTCTGTGCTGAATGTGTTTGAATGACTTTACTGAAATCCGATAAAAATGCGAGTTTGGGCTTTAACATTTTATCTTACATTTTCATGGTATTGAGCTGCTTTTTCTATTTTTGCATTTTAAATAAATATACCAGACACTCATGACAGATGGAGCACGTCTTCAGGAACTGACAGAAAAGCTGAATCAATTGAAAATTATTGCCTGCTTGTCCTTAATTACCAACAACATGGTGGGGGCTGTCACAGAAGGTCTACCTGAGTTTGCAAACAGATTCAAAAGGATTTCAGCTGTTCTGCTCGAAGGCATGAACAAACAGTAAGTTTCAGATGTATTAAAGCTCTGCATGTGCTTCCGAGAATGTAAAGAGCCTTGAACATCTCGGTGTGATATTCAGGACTGTGCTGTAGCTTATCTTACTCCTTCTTTTTCTAGAATTTCTCTTAAACTCTCTGAAGGCTTCAATGCCCTTTCACAGGAAGGGAGAGGCCTTTTCCACGACAAGCTCCAGGGTGAGTGTAGTATCTCCACTTACAGTAGCTGTGAGCAAGAGCTTTTCTTCCACAGTACTTTCAAAAGCAAACCAAACCACTTGGAAATGTAAAGGTAGACATTTTGTAGCAAGGAGGGGAGTGATTAACTTTGCAGTCTAGGAGCAGGGTTCCCTGGGATCATTAAGGGAGAAGAGTGGAGAGCGGGACCCTACCCAGAGAAGCAGTGACACCAGAGATGGAGGCAGAGACAATGACGTGGGGAGATGGAGTGGCTGGGGACTTTGGACCCAGAGAGGAAGAGGGGCTGTGTGCTGATGACTGGGGGTGGGGGGTGTGGGGGGTTGGGAAGCAGGCTTGTAGGGCATACCCTTATACCCTTTGGTTGGTTGATGATGCATGGAGGGGATTGTAACCATGGCAATGAAATGATATACGACAGGATGAATGTGTAACTAATGTTCTCCCATGTAAACTATCACCTAATTCACAATAAAACATTAAAAAAAAAAAGCAAACCAAAACATCCACCTAGTTCAGTCGTTGGAATGTCCTGTCATAGAAAGTTGTCCACATTCAATTGCTGACACCATCATTTGTCTGCAGTGAGGTGCTGTCTTTACTGACTTCACAGAGCCAGCATGCTGGGAAGTCTCTAGAATTGGTGACGTTTCTGCTCTTCAGAGATGTTACACAAAAGGCTTTGTGTTTGCTAAGTTTATTTTCCAGTATCCTACCTTAATCAGTGATTAAAAGCAAAAGGAAGCTAGAGTGGTACATTGTAGTAGGTAAAATATTAGGAGGTATAAAAGTTTGCCACAAATAATCTACCCTTGGGTTGTAGGACCCCAAAGGAAGACCCAGTGTGGGTCTACAATGAATTGTAGTGAAGGCAGAACACCAAAGATGATTTATTATTGCTGTTAATTGTCATACTGTTAGTTTGTTTCTCTGTTTCTTCTAATTAAGATTTGCTATCCTGCATAGCAAGTTAAGTAGTAGAGCCAAGATTTGAACCCAGATCTGTGTGACATCACTACTCATGTTCTTATGTCATTACATGGCTCCTATCTTTGGACTCTTCTCTCATCTTTTTTGTACAGAGCTATCTTAATGACTCTCTGGATATTAAAATACAATGCTCACACTCAGCCATTCCACAATACAGGCGGTCCCCAGCTAACAAATGAGACTCATTCCTAAGTGGGTGTCTTAGTGGGATTTGTAGGTAAGTGGGAGCCACGTAGGTAAATTGTTCCGTAGTTAGCATGTAGAATGAGAAAAGGCTCAGTGATTTGAAGTGATTCATTTGCACAGGCAGCAGATGACAGTGACTATAAAGAAGAATTTGTTGCAAGTAGGGGTTGGTTCAGTTGTCTCAAAGTGAGGGCATGTTTACATAACATGTAGCACCACAGGCTAAACATTGGACCCTAAGGTCTGTTTAACTACAAGGTCGGTGGTTCAAACTCACCAGCTGCTCCTTGGAAGCAGGAACCCACTCAGCGACACTAACAGTAACAACAAAGGGTACACTGGAGTTGTTTGTAATAAAGTGGTTAAACCTGGGGGATTACCCTAGTGTGGACCCAACAAGTGCCCTTTCTAGAGACCACTTTTCCCTGACATATAAAATCACCCTCTGGACTCTAAATATTTGGGACTATCCATCAGTTACTTAAAGTAATAAAAACTTACCTTTGGTCATGATCAGTAAAGAGCACCAGGAATTTGGTGGTATTGTCTTCTGAGTGTCTTCCTTTCTTGTTTTTGATTGGTATTTGATGTATTGCTCAAGCATGGGTAAATGAATTGATTCTACCTTGGTTTTTAGGCATAGTTAAAAAAAAACCACCTGTGTGGATATACTCAGGCCAAGGGATTTATTTTGAAAAGTAAACTAACAGATGCTGTCTTTCCTTTTCTGATAGTCTTACATATTCCGAAGGTTACAGACATACTTTACAAGGACCACGGTTTTCTGCCATTGTTTTTCTACTTTGTTGTTGTTAGTGCTTCAAGTTGGTTCCTGTATCGCAGGGGTGGGGAACAACCAGCCCATGGGCCATAAAAGCCCGCAAAATCACTAGATCTGGCTCTGCCAAGGCAACCACAGTGGCAGCCATCACGTTGTTGCTGATAAGAGCCATCAAGTCAGTTCCAACTCATAGTGACCCTGTAGCGTTTCTGAGGGGTGGCTAATGAACTTGAACTGCTGACCTTGAATTCCAGTGCATTAATCCACAGCACCACACCAGAACTTTGGCCATCACATTTGTTGTTGTTGTTAAGTGCTGTTGATTCGGTTTCAACTCATAGCCACCCTGTATAGGGTTTCTGAGGAGCGATTGGTGGATTTGAAACAATGAACTTGCACCTCAAAGTGACTGCAGTCTAGTGAATAATCCTGTAGCACCACACCAAGACTCCAGCCATCACATTGTTGTTAAGTACCGTGGCGTCGGTTCTGACTCATAGTGACCCTGCACAGGGTTTCCGAGGCTGTAAATCTTTACGGGAACAGAATGCTTCATCTTTCTCTCGTGGAACTGCTGGTAGTTTCGAACTGCTGACCTTGAGGTTGGCAGCCCAACTTGTAACCACTACGCTACCAGAGCTCCTTAGCCATTACATTGTTGTTGTTGTTATGTGCTGTGGAGTCGGTTCCGACTCATAGCAACCCTGTAAAGGGTTTCCGAGGCTGTGGTAAGTTAATTAGATGTTTGACCAAATATAGCAGCCTAATTTTCAAGTTGATAATTTTGTATGGCCTGTGATGATGTTATAAATTTTGGCAGAAAAAAGGTTTCCACCCCTTCTCTGTAGGGTTTCTGAGGAACAGTTGGTGAGTTTGAACCACCAACCTTAATTTAGCATTTAAAAATCTGCTACATACGAGGAAGATTTTTCTAAATTCATTCTAGTAGCGCTAATTATTATCTAGGAGAAAATCAGTAGAAATTAATGTGTGTGTGTGTATATATTTGAAATTAATGTGTGTGTGTGTGTGTGTATATTTTGTTTGTTTGGTTTAAAGCCTGAGAAACAGAGACACTATCCCTGATTGAATTTTGTGTTACTTTGTAGAACATTTAACTTGAAGGAAGCCCTGAATTCTATCGGTGTTCAGACCTGTATTGAAGTTAACAAGAGCCTGGAAGAGAGAGCTTTATCCACTTTAAATGCTGAGGTTCAAGCTAATCTTGTAGGTCAATTTTCAAGTATCGCAGAGAAAGACAATCCTATCTGGTCCTTGATTGGTGAGTCCTTGTTTTTATTGATTTCTGCTTCAATTCAGTTTGCTTTAACTTGTTCGATTTGATTGACATTAAATGCCTGATTTTATTCTTAAGCATATTTCTTGCTTCTTTTGGAGCATAAATAAAGAGAACTAGAAGAAAGTATTACAAATACCAAAGGTCTGGGGTTCACTGCCTCTTTGCGGTCCATGTGGTAGAGTTGGAGCATGCTTCAGGACTTTCTTAGTATCCTGCTAACAGATTTTAGGAGACATAGTGGGCAGGCTCTTTTTTTTAACTTGTTTGCTAGGGAATTGGATGTCTCAGTATCAAACTTCAATGGTGAGTTGAGAAAATGGAAAATGTATCAGTTAGGATTTTTTCTGGTGCATATAACAAAAAAATCTAAATTTCTAAACTCACATAAGCAAAAGAGCATGTATTTTCTCATCTAACTGAAGAGACTGGGGTTTGGCTGGCTGCTGGTGGACTTCCTCAGAGCCTCAACTTAGTAGCAGCATGAGCTTCCTGCCTCCCATCTCAGCACTGCCTTCTTGGGGGCTGGCTGCCTTCACAGAAAGGTGCTTCCCTCAGGCTAGTACCGTGACTTCACCTCCACCTGGCATTGCCCCAAGCTTTACTTTAGTCAGCTTCATTGTTGGTTCGAACCTCCACCACCCTACAATTGGGTCCCATTTGCTCCAGTTGACCTAGCTTTAGAATGGGCCCCTTTCTTGAATTAGTCAGGGTGGCCAGTAAGGAAGAAACTTAAGCTTGAGACATGGGTTGAATTCTGGAGCCATGCTGGAGTCAACTTTGCCCATAACCAAACAAAATCAGAGGAGTGCAACTCAGTCAGCACAGTAAGATCCCTGGGACATGAGAAGAGCTCAGAAAGATGTGGACGAGTTAGCCATTGTCTTTCTCCTTATGTGATAGACAGTGAGAGTCTACTACAGAGGACAAGGAATACAGACTAGAGGGGAAAAGAATGTAGAATTAGATTGGTTGTTAAGTGCCATTGAGTCACTTCCAATTCATAGTGTCCCTGTATAGGGTTTCCAAGGAGCGGTTGGTGGGTTTGAACTGCTGGCTTTACAGTTAGCATTCCAGTGCTTATCCTGCAGCACCACACCAGAACTCTGTAGAATACAGGTAGTCCCTGACTTACAGTGAGGCTGTGCTCTGGTATGGCACTGTAAGATAAGCACTAGACTGTAAGGTCGGCAATTCAAATCCACCGTCTGCCCTTTGGAAACCTTATACAGATCCCTATGAGTCAGAACTGATTTGTTAACACTTAACAATAACATGATGTTCTGATGATTCTGTCGTAAATTGGTTCTGATATTAAATTGAATACCTCATTTTTTAAGTTTTCATTATTATTGACTTTTGTTATCGGTGTCTGTATAAATCTGATCTTTATTTATCTTTGATAGTAGGACATATTACATCTGAGAATGATAGTATCCCCAAATTAGATGCTGCAACATTGCATGTAGTCCATGCCAGTAACCATAACATAACATGTACAAAAAAACAGGACAGTCATGAATGCAGTTCATCATAACTTGAACATGTCGTTAAGTTGGGACCACTTGTATGGTGATAGCGACATTCCAAGACTAATCTACAAGTTATCAAAGTGCAGCACCAACCTCCTTGAGAATGTAAATCATTCTGTGGTTTATTTGGGGCTCTCAAATGGTGTCTGTCTTCCTTATCTCTGGGGCCTTGGAGCACTGGGGATCCAGACTGCTCAGAGGACTTGAGTAGCTCAGGGCCTTGGCTCCGCCCCGAGGAGAGAGCGATGTTGGCTTACAGTATTGTAGGCTGCAGAAGTACTGCTGCTGCAGGTGGCAGATGTTGACAGTACGAAACACGCCACCCACAGTCAGCAGTGTTTGCGCCCTTACCTGTAGGAGCTGTGGTTGCTGGCATGCGTCTGCCCTCACAGCCTGCAGTCTCCAGTGCAACAGCATGTGCCCAGTTAGTACTGGGGAGGTTGGGTTTCTAAAAGGGGTAGGCTGTCTAGCATAGTCCCTGCCCTGCACTGCCCTGTCCGCACTCCTGTGCAGCTTCCTGAGGACAGGCCATGTTTGTCCTCTGCTGTGTCCTTATACCAGGACCTTCAGGACCTTTTTGTGGAACAGATGGATCCCCATCTTACAGGAGAGGCATCTGAGAATTTCAGAAGTTAAGTAACTCTTGCCCAAGATCATGGAGCCTGCTGGCAGCTGAGCTGGGACTCCTACCTAGTCTGTCTGTCTCCAGAGCTCATATTTTTAACCTGACTGGCACTGGAGACCCAGCTAGAGCCCTGCTGCCTGTTGGCAGGGCAGCTGAACAACGTGCCCTGGCTTTAGATAAGGAGGTACTTGTGGTATTGGAGGGAGAGGAAAGCTGGGTGCCAGGAGGTGCCCCACCCCAGTAACGTGGTTTTTATGCACCCAGCTCTCCCCAGTCCAACTTTTCTGACCTTTGCAGATGGAAAACATTTTTTAACCTCATTCAAGTATTGTTGTCTTAGCAACCTCAAGTGACTTATTTCAGCTGCTGTCCTTGGACCCTGGAAGCCAAACACACCAGTGACAGGGCTTCCCTTAGGCTGCTCCTAACCAGACAAGTGCTCCTGTCCCTTTAGTCTTAGTCTGAACATCGCCTCGTCCACAGAGGGGACAGAGCCACTTGTCAGCACTCTAACACCCTCCAGTCTGGCAGGAAAGGGTTCAGGCCATAATCTGTGAGGACAGTAGACCTCGGTCCATGAGCATCAGACAACCAGTCCCAAGGGAGATGTAGTACAGGGTTCACTCTGTATCACTATTTCTACACTGTATTGTAGAATACATCACTCTCACTGTACAATTCAGAGACAAGCACATAGTGGAGAATCAGTAAGCACAAAGATGCCTGGGGCAGGAGAGGGACTCCTGCAGATGTGGGAGAGTCCATGCAGTTTCCCTCCATGCAGGGTGGCTGGTGTCCACCTGCTTTGGTTCTTAGTTGAAGTACTATTCACTTATCAAAGGGATTACAGCCCTACTTTGGTTTTAGGCTTTTAAAAAATAGTTTTCTTTCAAACGAGTTTTTTTCAAATGCATAGCAAAACCAAGTAAAAATTAGTTGCTGTGTAGATTAGTTGCATGCCTATATTTACCTTGTTGTTGTTGTTGTTAAGTGCCGTCGAGTCAGTTCTGACCCATAGCGACCCTGTACAGGGTTTCCGAGGGTGTAAATCCTTAAGGGAGTAGAAAGCCTCATCTTTC